CATAGTAGGTAGGGTCGGAAGGGACCTGAGCAGGTCATCAAGTCCAACCCCCTGCCATGGGCAGGAAAGAATGCTGGGGTCAAACAACCCTGGCTAGGTGATTATTTAGCCTCCTTTTGAAGACCCCCAGGGTAGGAGTGAGCACCACTTCCCTTGGAAGTTGGCTCTAGATCCTAGCTGCCCTGTCTGTGAAGTAGTGCCTCCTGATATCTAACCTGAATCTACTCTCAGTCAACTTATGGCTGTTATTCTTCGTTACTCCTGGTAGTGCATGGGGGAACAGGGACTCTCCTATAGCCTGCTGGTCCCCCTTGGCCAGTTTATAGATGGCCACCAGATCCCCTCTCAGCCTTCTCTTGTGGAGGCTGAACAGGTTCAGGTCCCTTAGCCTCTCCTCATAGGGTCTGCCCTGCTGCCCCCTGATCATGCAAGTGGCCCTCCTCTGGACCCTCTTGATGCTGGCCACATCCCTCCTGAAGTACAGCGCCCAGAACTGGATGCAGTACTCCAACTGCAGCCTGACCAGTGTCGCATAGAGAGGGAGGATCACCTCCTTGGACCTGCTCGTGATGCATCTGTGGATGCTTGACAAGGTGCAGTTAGCCTTCCTTGGCGACCCATGTTCATTTTGGAATCAATAATGACACCGAAATCCTTTTCTGCCTCTGTGCTGACTAGAAGGGAATTCTCCAGCCTGTAGGTATGCTGCTGGTTCTTCCTCCCGAGGTGCAGTACCTTGCACTTGTCAGTATTGAATCCCATCCTGTTCTCATCCGCCCACCCCTGTAACCTGTCTAGATCTAGTTGCAGTCTGTCCCTCTCCTCCAACGTGCCCACTTCTCCCCACAATTTAGTGTCATCCGCAAATTTGAATAAGGTGCTTTTCACCCCCTCGTCCAAGATGTTGAACAGCGCAGGCCTGAGGACCGAGCCCTGGGGTACCCCACTGCCCACATCCCTCCACGTCGAAAAAGACCCATCCACCACCCATCCCCCATGTTAGAACCAAGGAATTCTCACTAACCAGCACCCAGCCCCACAGCTTTTGTAAGACTAGTTACACATACCCCAGCTCTCCCAAACTACACTAACCTATCCACCTTTGTACACATCCACTACATACTTAACGGATGAGCACACTTCCCCCTGTACACTGTTGTGGATAGCTTTTGGGCAGATCACAGCCAGACATACTTGGTCATGTCAGCAGAGCTGACCACTTCTACTTTTGCTGCTGGCTTTGGCCCTTGCTTCTGCCGCAGTGAAGCTAATAGATAACACCAGGAGGCCACCCAGTACTTGTAAGAAGTGCAAAATAAGCAGAGTTAAATAAATAAACTGCCACTTAGCTCCTTGTTGGCTTCCTGTGGCTTTTCCCAGGCTTTACCATCTGGACACCTCTTATCTTTCAGAGGCTTTGAAGAGAACCTGCAGGGCTTATGCAAACCAAACCAAACCAGAGAGAATCCTTACCCTTGGCCCTGCTTGACCTGTGCAGGGGGGTTCTGGGGCCCTGCACCCCTAGCTGCTGACAGGCAAAACTTGTGACATGGGTGCTTGTGGGACTGACTGTGTCTGTCTTGGGGCAGTTGATTGTCTGTATTGATTCTTTCTTCTCCTTAGTCTGGTTTTGTAGGTGCTAATTGATTGCAATTAACTGGCTACATTAGCTAGGTACTGTGTATTGAGCTGGTCCCTGAGTGAATTATGATTGGGTGGTAACTGGTAACACAGTAGCTTAGCAGCCAGGCCTGCGGTACTGTCTCCCCCTCCCCAAGACAGACACAGTCCCACAAGCACCCATGTCACGAGTTTTGCCTGTCAGCAGCTAGGGGTGCAGGGCCCCAGAACCCCCCTGCACCAATCTCCTCAATAGCTGGCAGGCATCGTGGCCACAGCAGGGGCCACAATCGCTGCAGCTGTCACCCCGCTGTGCCTTAACACATGCAGTGTCACCCATGGCATGAGTTTTGCTTGATTGCAGCTTGAGGGGCAGCTCCCCACAAACCCCTGCACCGATTTTCTTGAAACTTGGCAGGCTTTGTGGCCTTAGCAAGAGCTACCAACCCAGCAGTCTTGACCCCCCTGTGTCAAAACACATAGACGTGACAGAAGTTTTGCTTTCAAGAATTTGGGGTGCAGTTTCCCCCAAATCCCTGCACCGATCTTCTTGAAACTTGGCAAGCTTCATGCTCTCTGCAGATTCTACTACCCCTGAAAATTTCATCCAAATGGACAAAACACAACAAAGTTATAGATATTTGATTGCTTCCCCATTATACCCTATGGCCAGATCTCCGAGGTGGCTCTGAGGTAGCTCTGAAGCACTTTGGAAACTCCGAACCGCTTTGGGAAGCCTAATAAGGCCAGCGCTTCAACCCGGACATGCTGCTTCAGACCCCGAAGTGTTCCGAAGCTTCTCCGTAGCTCTCTCTAAAGCCTTGCACAGGCCTAGTAATTACCATGTTCTAGCCAGCCTCCGCATCTTGTGTATCAGTGTCCCCGTGCTTCAAAATGCCACCAGGGATGCTTGAACTAAAGCTCATCAAAAGCTAAAGCTTAAGCACCCCCGCCACCATTTTGAAGCATGGGGACGCTGATACATGAGATGCTGAGGTGCTTTAATTACAGTGGCTCTTGGAGCCACTCTAATTAAAGCGTTGCTCCCCCACCCCTGGAGCCCATGTAAAAGTGCCCAGAGGTACTAGATTTAATGCTTATTAACTAAAGTATATTAATGCATGTGTAGATGTGCCCAGTGATCACAACTCTACTCCCCTTTATTCTCTAAAAAGTTCTGTTGTTTGCAGTTGAATTATTCTAGGAGTAAACTTGGAAGAGTTGAACATAAGTCTAAAGGAATTAACCCACTGTGACAAAGACAGCCAGGGAAAATAATTTCTATACATTTTCATATATATTCCTTATAATTATATATACCTATTATGGTTCTAGGAGTATGTGAGTTACATAAAGTAAGCACGCATCCAAAGTAAGTAAAAAAAGAAAGGAAAAACAGAGGAATTCTATTAATTTTCCCCCATGACACTTCTAGAAAATTACTAGGCTGTCATAGGGTAGAAACAGACATCACCAAACAAGTGGATGAAGGTGTCATGACAACTGATCCGCTTTATTGGGTGAAACACACATCATCCATTGTCCTACATTGTCATGCACAAGAGATGAAGGTCCCAATGTACGGTGACACAGGACCAAGGGAATTCCTGGCACCTTGTGCCGCCACACTGGGGCCTGTGCTGACCTGTTCCTCCACATGAAACATGGGTTGGCATGGGTCCTGACAAGGATGAGCAGGGTGACTTGAGAGCCAGAGGATTTCCAGCACCCTATGCCTCAACACTGGGACCCAAACTGACCCATGCCTCTACAAGAAGCATGGATCAGCACAGGTCTCTACATGGAGGCATGGGACCCAGGGAATTATCAAATCCTGTGCTTCCATGCTGGGACCGATGCAGCCTTTCTTCACTTATAGAGACTTCCCCTGGAGATCCCAGAGCAGGTCTTTGTAAGCAAGGAACTCCAATGATTCCCCACTTATAGAGAGCATCCTTAGAATCCCCTGGGTGCATCTCTGTAAGAATGGAAAGCTAAGCAGATGCTCTGCAGGCTTGAGGGGCCTGATCTTGCATGAGAATTTCTGCAGTGCACAAGCCTCTCTAGCTCCCAGAGCTTGAGAGCTGCCCACACTCTACCATCCCAGAACAAATAGATGTCAGACACAATAAAGCAGCACTGTTTAATGCTACCTTTTGTCATGCCACTGATGTGGTGTGGCAAAGAGTAGAGATGTCTACTGGCTTGTCATTTGTGCCGTCGAAATTTTTTTTATGGCAGCACAAATAAGATGGCAGGTAACATCTGTTTCTACCCATAGTGTATCAGCACTTAGACCGCATCCAAAAATGATTACTTAATAATTAAAGCTATATATAGATATAGATATAGAGAGAGATATAAAGAGTTTTATATACACACATACACATATATATAATAAACTGGCATATATACTTCACTAGTTTGTAGGCAAAAAGTGTTGTGATTTAAATATTCTCTTCTATATGAAATAATTGAACATGGTATCTCAGTAAAAGGCAGTAGTTGAAGTCATATAAGCAAATTCAATATTTTGTATTTTTTAAATATTTTTGAGATTATCAGTAAAAACAAATGTAAGTTAAAAGTGAAATCACACAAAACACATTTTATGTTGCCTTTGATCTTTAACTTGTAGCCTTATCTCCCAGGTCAAAGGACACATTATTCAATTTCACCATATTTTGTGTAAAACCACTGTAGCGTTGAAGATGACTTTCAGTACAAATGTCATGGTACTTAAAGCTAAACTGGACTCTAGTTTTTTGAGCTTCTTAATTAAAATCACAGTTTATAATGGTCTGACAATATTATCTTTATTCTTTCCAGTTGAGCAGCAGCAGAATTTTCACAGCTTTTATTCAATCAAGCCTAGCAACGTTTCTGCTGCTTTCTTTCACTTTCTAAAACATATAACAGGATTCAAAGTGACTAAGTTGTCACTCTATATGAATTTATATTCAATGTCAGAGGGTGTAAGTTGCCTCTCTCCTTATTTTGTCTGCTTGCATGAAATGTAGAATCTACTGAAGAATTAATTAATAAGTAACTGGAAAAAATCCCAAATGCCTTATCCATTTTGCTAAAATGCTTATTTTAAAATATATAACATAGTGGATAATTATCCTTCTTAGGATGGCCAAGTCATTTTGATAAACAATTCTGCAAGTGTCAGGGTACATTAAAGAGAAGAAAAAACAAGTATTTATGAGATGTATTGGGGAATGCATGCTCTTTTTTAGTTAATTCTAACAAATAATTGTTTCTTAAATTTTGTGAGTATTTTCATTATAACCCTCCCAATCTTACATTATATTGTCATGGTAAATATTCTTGGAGTCATTCCTCTACAGTGATATAGAGTTTTTGCAGTTACTTACCATTTCATTCAGTTTCTTCTGTAAAGTGTATTTTGAAATCTGTAAAAAAAAAATAAAGCTACATAACTAAAGTTGTAGTAACCTCTCTTCTTTACACATCTTTTTTGAAGAAGGCCCAAATATTACATTTTCCTTTTGTATTTTCATGTGCATTAAAGATTTAGCTTCATCTATAGCCAACCCAGTGAAGCAATATCCTCATTTTTAATTCAATGATTATAATGGCTCATTTATTTTAGGATTAAAATTACAATTTATTGAAATACCTAAAAGATGCAAAAGAAATCACAGAAATTCTAATATAAACATATATTAACGTATAAGAGGCATACATTTTTGTAATGATACATATTTATAATGCTGCAGTGCTAGAAGCTGTAGTAGGGGAGAAGCAGTGGGTGAGAAAATTCTGAACATGCCGTGTTTACCCTCCCTCTCAGCATCCACCTTCTGCCATTGTGTGAGAGGATACTAGGCTAGATGGATCTATGCTCTGACCCGGTAAATGGTAGCTTTCATGCTTTATAAAATAAGTTTAAGTGGACTTCAACTTAAAATAATGTGCTGTTTCATAAAGTGTCTTTGTATATTTTAACAGCATTAAAATCCAGGTTCAGTGCCCAAATGTAAAAATGTCAGCTGCTGTTGTCTATGAAATATTTTGGTGCATATTTTGCATCCTTTAGTAATTGTGATTTCATATGCGAGTTTCACAATTAATACAATACTTTCCATTCTATCAGTATCTGCTATGGAATTTCATTGATATCAATGGGAATCTTGAATTCAGTGATATTTCGGCAAGATCTCAAGATTTGCATTCTCAGTTAATGGCTGCAAATAGGAGGTGCTCTTCAGATATCATAAAGGGAAAAAAAGAGCTGTGTTGTGTGAACCTTGTGCAAAAATATGTTCTGTATAGAAGAATTAAGTCTAGAGAACAAAGAATTAATTTAACATGGAATTTCAGCACTTCAAGAAATAAGACTGCTAGGTTATAACCTTGAGCAAAAATGTTTTAAAGAAAAGAATGCAGAAGTTAAAGGTATTAAGAATTCATACTTAGGATCCCAGAACTGATCTGGAAACTCCTTTTCTATTCTTCCCCTTTAATTTCCAATCCTCTTTTCCTCTTATTTTGCCTTTTTCCCTCTATGTATGTTAGCTCCTCATAGTATTTCTTCTTCCCTTTACTTTCTTCCCCTCCCCACTTGTTTTCCAGTTTCTTGTGTTCCTCCTACACATCTGCACTGTTTTCCTGTCTGTCCCCTGTCCCTTTTTAGATCTCCTTTTATTAGTGAATCTGTTTGTGGGTAGCAGAGGCTGTCCTAAGTCATGCCAGGACTGAAGCTGGCCAAAGATCAGTAGAGCATAAAGGTGGTTTATAGCCAGTATTATGACCTCCTGTCCTCTTGAGCAATGCACAGAGCAGAACTTACTGGATCCAAAGACTGAACCCTATTGTGCTGTTACACTCAAGTATAACAAGCTGGATTAAGGAAATTTAACCTGAACTCTGAACTTCCTTGCTTTGGTAAATTTAAATCATATCTTTAAACATAATGTGAACATTTTTTATTTCAGTTTATCTTACTTAAGAAAAGCCAGCAGAACCTTTATTACTCTTGCTGGCCATGTATCATGTTCAGCAGACCATGAGGTACACTATACATCACCTGGGCTATGTCATGGTTTGAACAAGGCAAAACAAATCCTTGCAGCTTTTGCACAGAAGACCAGCCATGTGGAAGAATTTCTTTTGCTTTTAAAATACTCTCAACATTAACCAAATGATTAAATATGTAGATTATGACACTAAAAGAAACCAATCTATTTATAAATGAACATTAATAAGAACAAAATATGTAACAAATATCAGCAAAAATGTTTTTTATTACTCAGTCCTATGTACTGAAAAGAGAAATCTAATATAAACAAATGAACTTCTTGCAAAACATTAAGAAGTTACTCATAATTAAAAGGTGGCCTTCAAGGTAATACAAGGAGTCCTATATAAACATCAAGATAAGTCATTAAAACATCTACAACTGTTGTAGTTACTACTTTCAAAAAGTGGCATTAAAAATGGTTCCAGATGATCTCAATTTAATTCTGCCTTGTGCCACAATTAGCTTCTAATTTTCTCCATCCACATATCATTGGTTCATGTTGCCTCACTTATTTACTTAATCTCACTTTAGGAAATGATTTTAGTCTAAATTAGCATAGGCAAAATTATCAAGGAAATACTCCAGTCCTCATACACACAGCTCTGATTCATCAGAGCACTTCAGCAAATGTACTGTGCTGAATCACAGTCAGACAGAGAAGAAGCCAGAATAATTCAAACAGGAAATTTAAAATGTATTCTCTTTCCTTTAGAGGTCCATTATTAGGAATTAACTGTCTCACCTTTCTCAAAAAGAGAAATAAGTGATTTGCAGTCTGATTTGGAGTTTCATTCATATGGACAGTTTTAGTCACATTTTTAGCCAATTAGTTTGAGCATATAATAAAACCTAAGGATTTTTAAGGGCCTCTAGCACTAGCTGAAGAAATCTGAGCAATCACTGTTCAGTAAAATTATAAATACTTTCAAATTTGACAGACAATCTTACAGAAAAAAGTAAGACTAAGCCATAATAAGAAACTAATGAATCTGTGTATCTACCAACTAACACTTTAATTATATATATATGTACACACACAGATACATACATACCTGATGTTTACGTGTGTATGAATAATGTGCTGTGCAATATATATAATATAAAGGAGCTATAATATGCAGAATCTGGAAGTCTATCCATAAATAATTTCATGTACCCATGCTTGCCAGCACTAATCTGAAACTTTTAAAACTCTTGTATGATCAGATATTACTTTTGCATATACAGCAGCAATATTTTAGTGGTCACTGTCCAGAAGGATGTCACCAGCATGTTAAGTGAGGATGCTGTAATGGAAGGGTGCCATCTCACCTCCTTAAGATACATTGGCCCATGCAATTCTAGAGTAATTGTCTTTCTGAATTTCTTCAGATTCATAAGTCAGGTACCAACTGAATTTTATGTAATCTTTTAACATTTCTAAAAGTACAACCACAATTTGATTTACTATTCTGACTTAAAAATAGTGGAAGGAGGTTTCCAAGCAGTGAAAGAAGTAAAGCCACACTACTAAGAATCTTTAAAAAATTCTTACCATTAAGTGTAAAAGGTAGGAATGAAGAGCTTAATCTCAGTAATACTGGAATAAAAGCCAAAGTCACTTTAAAAAATGTTAAATGTTAGGTTCACTGGAAAAATTCTAGTAAAGCATATGCCCCCAATCTTGCTGAAAAGTCTCCTTCCATTTAATTTTAAATTGTAACGTAACTATTTTGCTTCCAAGAGTGGAAAAAATGACTGGCCCACTCAGGCAAAATCAGGAAAATAATTAGAAACTGGCAAAATCTGACATTCTGCAGCATATGACAATACCATGAATTCTCTCCTTTAAAAAAAATTCCCTACTCTCTAAACGTTTGACTTTCTTAACGTTCTTTAAGAACAAGGTTATCACTAGTCAACTCCCAATATAATTTGTTATAAGTCTTGTCTGGAGATTTCCCCTAATTTCAGCAATGGTGACCAGCTACTATTATAGCTACACCAGTGCAATGCCGTATGTAGACAAGGTAAAATGTTGTAATACAGTTCAAAAAGTATAGTTTATCCTAATTCCAAACAGCAATAAGTTTTCTCAGTGTGAATAGAGGGTTTGTCAGAGCAAGTTAAAAGCCTGTCTGATGCAGGACTGTTTGCAAGTCATAGAATAAAGGGATACCATGGATATGATTAGGGAAAGGACAAAAGGCACACAAAAAAAGGAGTGTGGGATTGAGACCCAATCAGGGCACCTGCATTTTAGAGGCCCCAAACTGAATCTTCCAGACAGGGCAGGGAAAGGATCTGTTTTATTCCTCTGCAGCCAATAAGGAAGAAAAAGATGAAAACTCTGGATAAAGAAGCATCATTAGCCCAGATATCGTTGCAGGAGGAGGACCTTTTCCTGAAGGGCTAAATTAGACAACCTGTGGGCACATCTACACAAGGCACTATGCCACCATAGTAATGTGCTATGGCGACCTAGTGTTGGTGGGAACAAACTGTGATGCTGCAGCTACATCACCGTAACTATTCACTCCCTCACTATAGTGAGTCGCTAAGGCAGCATAACAGCTAAAAATAACCGTGCACCACCACCACAGTGTAGTAACAACTGTTATTGCACTGTCATTTAGTACTTTCTAATGGAAGTACTAAATGATGGCGCAGTAACAACAGCACCATAGGGGCATGTGTAGACGCACCCTCCAAATAGTATGCATCCATTGATCCTTCTGGATCATGATGTGTGCTTGAGAGGTCACTAGAACCTTTGATGCACAAGCTTAGGCAGGAGTATAGAGTGGAGATTGCCCAGACCTTCCATTCCCTCTTTAGACCATTGAGCCAGAATCCAAAGGCCAGACTGAGTCCAGACATTTAGTGCCTCCATGGCTTGGTTATATGCTTACCTGGAAATCAAACCCACAAGGTAGACAAGGATTCTATCACTGAACTACAACAGCAAGTTCAACTGCTGAGTAACAGTAAGTTTAAACTACTAAAAAGAAACTAAAGGAGCAACTGAACTTATATATTGGAAGGCAAGGTGCACCTGTACTAGAAAAAGACAATATTGGAAAAGACCCAGTTTAAAAATAAAGAACTATAAAAATAACCAACTTCCCACTTAACTGACGCTAAAATAATTTAAGTCAGTAGTTTACCATGATTTTTACCTGTAATGTTTTTAATATTTCCTTCAGACCATCAATTTCCTTTTCTTTTGTTTCTACAACAAGTTGATATTTTCCCTTTAAACCAAAAGGTGTACATTAGTATTTGAAAAAAGAGAATCAATATGACAAAATATCGTCAACCTAGAATATTAGGAAAGTAATCTTTTATTGTGATAGATTCTTTATTATGGACAACAACCCATATGCAAAATAACCATGTAATGGAGCTAAATTATTACTTGGAATATGGAGAAAACTGATTTAAAAAATCAACACTAAAAAAAATGGTGCATCTTTACCACATAGAAATAGTTAGGAAATTGTGAAGTCTCACTGGATAGAGAAACTCATGGCACAAACAAACATTTAACAAGTTATACTAGTTTTGAACAAACCTACTGAATAACAAAGCCAGAACTATATAGATACATATTCTTATGACTCTATACATGCAACTAACAGCGTGATTGGATCTAATGCATGATCCATATAATCATGCTCCCTGCCACGCCACATGTGCATGGCAGGAGGCACAATTGTGGGATTGCACATTAGATCCAATCATACTTTACTGCTCGT